AAACTTCAACAATAGATATCACAAAATTCTACACACTGTACCTTTAAAGCAGTCTTACTTTGGCTTACGTAGGAGTTACCTTTAACTTAATTCAGGGATCTAACCACTTCTACCACCACTAGAGGTCAGAGTGCACCAGGCTTTACTTCAGTGTAACTAGCATGCAGCTGCAGGTAGACTTAGAGAGGTGCTGTTCCACTGATTTATCTGATGAAGACACCACAGCAGCATCAGAATTAAAAATATCTCTTATGTGAAACAGAAAATGATCCAATATTTACATTAAAATCACAGTGATATGAGATTCAGTAAGAAACAATCAAAATCATTTGTGTGAGAAGTTAATCATGTCTTTGCCTCTGAAACTCTGTGCACAATGCAAACAAACACAACTTCCCTGCCTCAGAGGCAACTTCAGGTAAGAGTCAGGTTCTTTTGACTCTGTAACTTCAGCCTTTTTTTCACGATTGCTTGATGTTGTTGTTGTAAATTAAGTCAGTATGAGTTTAGTCCTGCATCTTCTTCTGTTATACTTTATCAGGTCCTGTCCTACATGCTCCACACTCCCTCATTGGCCCTATTTGTGTGCACCCATGCGATCTTGTTTATTGCCCCCTGGATTTGCCTTCATGTCACCAGCCTAATCCTGCGGTTCCCCCCTCCCCTCTGCACAGTGTTAACAGTGGAAGGTGGAGAATGAAAGATCCAGAGCAGCTGCAGGTAACGTCCACTTTGAATGCCCCTCATGACATTGATGGATTAATGTTCCTGCGGTGTTAACTTTGTATTTATAAATCCAACCTCTGAGCTCTACGACAAAGCTCTGCAGAAAATGTGTCTCCTATGACCCCTCTTAAATATATTTAGCATGGACAGTAGCTTTAGCTTCTGATCCAAAGAAAGCTTATTTTTTCTTTTGAAAGTTTAAATGAGTAACTTTCTACATCAAGGTCATAGTATTAAATACTCAGTGTGATTGATGCTGATATATTTGGGATGTTTCTCCACATTGCGGAACAGATGTTGAGGACCCATGAATTTTTATGTGTTTTTCATAAAGTTAAATTAGCGTAAATGTTGGTTGTAATGTGGTTCCACGGACATGTACATTGGACCATAGTTATATTAATAGATATGTTGTGCAAATGAAATGAGTTTTAATTTATAGTAGCCCGTTTTTATGTGTAATCTCTATGACAATAGGCAGCTTAATATTATTTCGACTTTATGACTCATGACAACTTCAAAAAAGGGTTTTCATTTAGACGAAGTCACTCAGAGTATTGTCTTTTATTTGTCCAGATTATATTATTATGCTCGACTATAAACTTCACAATACAATATGTATATACATATAAAGCGAATGACACCAACAATCAATATTTAACATTCAGGTTTGACAAAATTAACATTCATACAAACTGTTAAACAAATAGCATCTTCTTGACAAAGATTTGATTATATATACAAAGATTTTGTACACATGGTCAATGCATCTTTTTTATTTCATTTGCCACAAAGTGTCTGTCACAGACTTACGGATATTTATATGTGTTATCGATGGAGTTTAAACCCTTTTTTTATCTTTACTCTTCCTGTTTCACAAACGTACATGATGATTTTTGTCCGACCCACAAACCTGGCATCATCCTCCCCTTGAAGGAGCTCTTAATCTTCTGCAAGAGTCTGACCTCCCTCCTGCCTTCACCCTCCTCTCCCTCCTTCACCTCCTCCACTGCATAAAAATTGATGACACCAGCTGGATGGTCGAGGTAGACCCCGATGGTGGTGCACTGGGGAACGTCCCAGATCTCTGTGTTAATGCCATTGAACCACAGCTGGTAGTGGGATCCGCCCCACCCGAGACCCCAGGAGTGCTCGTTCTCCCCCAGCCCGCAGGGTCCTTCACTTCCCCTCCTCCCGGTCCCTTCATAGGCCACTCCGACAACCACCCATCCTGAATACTTGACTTCCCAGTAAGCTCTGAAGCCCAGGATGCCTTCTTTGCAAAGAACCTTGAATAGAAAGAAAATTAAAAGTCAGCTGAACATTTAAGGACAGTCGCAAAAATGTGTGACTGTTGCTTAAAAGCTGTGCCTGGGGGACGTGCTCGTATCTCTCAGGTCTGTCCAGGACGGGACAAGTGACATCGTCAGTCATGCGTGACACCTTGGATCCACCCTCTGTGACCCACAGCATCTTATTGGCTGTCTTGTCATCCAGGGAAAATTTGACCCAGTCTGTGGGATGCCGGGAAATGTGCCTTTAGAACCAATAATTGCAAATATACAGGAAAAATGTTTTTACCTACATTTTAGAAGATCAGCTCTGCAGGTGGGCTCAGTGATGTTGGGCTCGTAGACTGGGATGTGATCTGAATTATATCATATGATATATTAAGGAGGGAAGATGGCTGTGATCACAGTGAGCTGCTCGCTCTTTGAAACAGTGAGATAAGTTGACTTTGAAACCTCACCTGTCGGAGAAGCCACATCTTTAGATTTTGTCCCTGGAAATATGAAACAAATTTGATTGTCAGTCTCGTTCTATGGTGTCACCACAGAATTGTCAATACTGGAATCTGAGAGGTGAAAACATTATGAAATTTAACACGTTAGAGAAGAAATCTGAAAAATTAAAATGAACTTAACTAAATAGTTTCCGATAAAGTTTCCATAACAGCTGATTGATAAATCTTGGTTTTCTAAATGATCATGCAAGTCCCTCACCAGGTCTGCCGGCTGCAGACATGATCCTCGTACTGGGAGCGCTGGTCGGCATCTTTATCGTTTCTTTCTCCGTTGAGTTTTCCTGAACGTTCCAGTCCATCAGCAGCACACTGCAGCAACGATGCAAATGACTTCTTTATATACCCCCAGGAAAGGGGGCATTAAAGGTTTTGGGGCCCCCGAGGCTCGCATATGACACATTTTGGTAAGGTATGTGGACATAATGAGCTCACTAATGGGCGTGTCACAGAGGCTGCCAACACCAGGATGTGCATGCCAATGCCAACACCTGACCCACTGACCCATATTTATCGGAGCATTTCTGAATTTGCTTTTGTCAATTGTCAAATATTATTATCCTGTCATCTCTTTGTACTGAAACAAACACTGTGGAAATTGACGCCTGTTGCAGGAACGTGGATTAGAAGGACAGAACGTTGAAGTGTAGACTTGTAGAAATGGTGATGGAGACGAGAGAATCCCTGTTTAGAATGTGTCAGTATGCAAGAAGAGAACCTAAAGTTACGTCCTTTAATTTTCATCAGTGGTGGATTTTGATCTTTCATGTCTGTGTTGGACACTAAAGAGAGACGTTTAAACACTAACACCACCATGTGTTCCCTTTAAATGTCAGTTTATTATGATTTACTGTTACTGTGGGTATTTCCTTTGCTTCTAATGGTTCATTTAGTTGTATATAAACTACCCATGAGTGGTTACTGATTATCTGGATTAAAGTAGTTTCAAAATGTGTTATCCACCAAATATAACCCACATAGCTCAGGCAGCACATTTTTGTTTTGATTTCCCATAAGACACATCTGGTATAAGACACATCTGGTATAAGACACATCTGGTATAAGACACATCTGGTATAAAACACATCTGGTATAAGACACTGGTTTATGTAGTAAATCGTGGCCTTGAACAACCAGAGCAGCCTCTGGAGAGGGTCAGTGTTTTGGTGGCGAGTGGCCCATGAGAGGAGATTCAGAGGAGCTCACATAGGTCTACATTGCAAACCCTTTACCCACAATCCCCTCTGTTTGCCATTGTACCCACCAGGCTTTCTGGGAGTTCACAGTTCCTTGCATGTGCTGTTTAGTAAGTCAGCTGCACTACAATCAGTGCCCCCATCAGTCATCTGCTTGGGCGGGTGGGAATGCTTGAAGGACGAGACAGCCTTGACCATAGGTTTGTCAGGGAGATGAAAAGGCAGCAGAGGAGTGCATATCACAAGGAAGGGTTTACCACCAGGGACACGCTCTTTTCTCTGAACCCAGGCCATGTGCACCAAGGCATATTAGATGGTAAATGGTGGATGTGATAACGCAGGTCAAGAGCGTGGTTAAGCCCGAGTTTAACCTCTGGTCACGCGACTTAGTCGTCAGTGTAGTTTGGTTACGCTGGGCTGTATTTGTAAAAAATGCGTTTTCCTTTTCGTCACCCACACATTTCTTCTTCAGTGTATATTTGATGTGATTACATTTTTTCAAAGTAAACTAATGCATCAACAACTATATCATCACTATATCAGTGACCTTGCTTTTTCATTAAATTCACATTCATTAAATTTTTTTCTATATAAATATTTACAAGTCAATAGATCTACAGCTTTCAGAACAGCAAATAAGTGTAACATTTACATTTTTCTACATATTTAATATTCAAACAGTTTAAATGAATTCAATATACGTTTGAAAAGTCAATACTGCAAATCAATACATATTTTTTAGATGAAAGAAATAAATTTTTTTTCCATGTTTCCATGTTTTGTTTTAACATCACTCATATCTCTTACATAAATCTTACGCCACTTGTTCAACTTTTAAAGTGTGAATTACATAGTTATACTTATATATATATATATATGTGCAGCTGTTGGATCTCACACTGCCTGACGTCTCACAGTAGTAAGTCTGCTGATGAAGATTTAAATGTTTGCAGTTGCATAATGTGTGCATGTCCATGCAACGCAAACACATCAACGCTGACGCAGTGCAATGTGACAAGATCATTACTGATGTAGATCGAGGCGGCGGGGCGGGTTCCACTGGTTCATAGGGGATGTCCCAGAGACATCCAAGCATCCATCGAACCTTTTTAAGGAAAAATATACAGGCACAGCTCCAGTTACAAGACTCACGGCTCCCCCCTTCCTACTGGCACGTTTTTGTCTCACACTCACTGGCTCTGATTCCCTCACCACTGTCCTGCATTAAAGGTATATAAGAGTGGCATTAGGCTGTCAAACACTGGAGCCAACAGACACTCATCATTCTCACACAGACCAGTGACATCAGGCTGAGACTGGCTCTCCAGCAGCTTAAACGGTTAGACCCACCTCAAGCCGGAATCAAGATGCCGACCACGACAAGACTTATTTCGAACACCCGGAAGTCGGATAAAGGTGAACTTTGATTTTCTGCATTTCACACAATTTAGAATCCTTATTTTTTACTTTTAATACTTGTGATTTCCTTTTCTGTCAAATTAAACATTTCAATATCAATGCAGGAAGCATTGGTTGGTGCATATAATACAGAAAACATTCTTTTAAAAAATGCTTTTGTTGATTGAATAAACAAACTCAAACTTTTCTTACTGTCCTCTGTGGCAGATCCTGAAAATGCTTCAGTGACGGATTTCATTTGTCCTTTTGAGCAGCGTGTAATGTTTCACTGACGAGGAGAGAGGGTCTGCAGGTGTAGGTGTGAAGATCAGCCTTACAAATGATTTCACACACTGTATTATGTTTTTTCTTGCAGCTTGTACAGTATAATGCCAGTCTTGGAAATTGTCTGCATTGAGCGCCATCCTCTATTGCACAGATTCAATTAAAGTCTTACTACCATTACTGTAATTGCTGTAACTAAAAACTGATTTTTCACTTCAATTATTTGGTTTTTCCAGCATCTTCCAAAACAGAACAATTCAAATAAATAGAAAATGTATTTCTCAATATTGAACGTCAATTTTTTTTTCTACCATTCAAATTTTTGCAGTATTGCGAATCCCAACAACTTGGCTAACAGGCCCCGTAAAGCCTGCCACAGTGGAGCTGAGGCTTAAGTGTTTTGTATGGTGTCGGATTGTAATGAGACCAGACAAAGCAGTTGTGTTTATTTTTTCTCATCCGTTTGTGCTAAATCCAGGCAGGTGGCTTAACATTCCCGCGTGGCCTCATTCGGCCTCCTGTCAAGAGAGAGATAAATGCCAACTCATTTGGACATGGCACGCTTACTGCATGGCGTAAAAATAACCGTTAAGATCGAGACATGCAGACAAATTGTCGATTTGAACGTATTTTGGGAGAATGCAGCCTCACCTAGAATTCAGCATCTGCAGGATTATGCAAAATGCACTTTTGTATTTTAGCTATTCCTAAGATTCATCCATTTTGCTGCTATTTTTTCTGCCTCACAACACTGAGCTCATTAACATCCAGAGCTGATGAAGCAGACTGTTTATGTTGGCGGTGACTTTGCTTGCACTTTATTTATGTCCGTCGATGTTGACAATTTAATGTATCAGGGGATTATGTGACTCCTCTTCTTGATCTTCATCCTTAACAAAAATCTGGAAACCACATTGCCTCCACTTGATACCAACATATTAGTTACGAGACATTGGCATTAGGGCTGAGCCTGTTATGCAACAATAATTTATTACTTTGAGGAAAGTTATGACACAATGCTGCCGCCTGTAATCAAATGTTATCTGAAATCTAAATGCTTGGCAGGGCTCATTATTTTCCATCTATATTCCTATAAGCTTTTAGTCCCTACTTTATTAACTTGGAAATTTGCACGTGTCACATTATCTGTGCATCACTGTGCTATCTCCATTTCTGATATGAGGCTAAATTAAAAATGAGATTTGTTGCTCTTTGATGACCCTCCTGGTTGTTATTTACCTCAGTCAACAAGTGATCAAGCCTCGTCCCAAACTTCTCAGATCATGTCCTTCCTCTTGTCTCGTAAAAAGCTCAGTTCCCCCCCCACCCCACCCCGCACCATGTGAGGTGTCTTGGTAATTCCAACCGCTTGGCATGACTCAACCACTGGGTTCAGAAGTATGCAGTTGCTGATAAGTTGATCTGACAGAGGCAGATAGTTTTCTAAGTATACATCGTTTTACAGAGGCTCACATTTTCACCTGTTGGGACACACCTGACATATACTGCAGCATATGGCATTTATTACAACCCACTATTTTTATCTCTATACTGGTTGCCCTAGTGAAAACACATGTTTTGGATTTTTTTTTCCTTGTAGCAAAGAATGTCAAAGCTGGAAACTCGCCCACAGGTAACTCAGTCATCTTCATCTCACCATGTTTGATCACAGTATTTGAATTTTAAATATTCCCTGATATCGCCCTGTCGCTCTCTCCTCAGAAAAGATCCCAGACTACGAGCCAAATATCCCAGAACCCAAATGCAGAGCTGATCTTATCAAATGTGAGATTTCATCTCTTCTACCTGTTTTACAGTTTGGTCCAAATAGGACTTTTCATTAAATGTTTTCCTTTTTTCCTTTTTAAAGACTGGTTCAAACTTTCCCTGGATGACAAGACAGCCAATAAGACGCTGTGGATCACAGAGGGCGGCACTAAAGTGGCCCGTATGACTGACGATTTAACTTGTCCCGTCTTGGATAGACCAGAGAGATATGAGTATTCTCCACAGGTACAGTGAAAACTTGTAGTTGTAATAATTTGGCCCGAAATTACAGTAATCAAAATGTTCATGAAAGGTATCAAATGATACGAGAGTGCCAGAAACTTGTCATTAACAGGCTTTAACTGGTCTGATGTGATTGTAAAATACACTTGTGGACCTGAGGGATGTTCTGTGTGTATTTTTAAATCCTGAGTCATCTGGTTTTGGCACAAGGCAGAGACACCAGTGTGACAGCCCAATTAAATCACAGGTAATGTGAGGATAACTAAATTGTTGCTGTTATTTTCATTCATGCTCAACAAGGTTCTTTGCAAGGAAGGAATCCTGGGTTTCCGAGGCTACTGGGAGGTTGAGTTCTCCGGGTGGGTCGTTGTCGGCATTGCGTACGAACGAGCAGGACGGAGGAACAGCGATGGGTCTTGCGGGCTGGGAGAGAATGAAGGGTCATGGGGCCTCGGTTGGTCCGGCTCCAGCTACCATGCCTGGCACAAAGGTTACAATGTGGAGATCAAGGAAGTCCCTCAGTGCTCTGTAATTGGAGTATACCTGGACCAGCCCGCTGGTATCTTGAATTTCTATGCTGTGGAGGAGGTGAAGGAGGGAGAGGAAGACACGGGGGCAATGGAGGTGAAGCCTCTGCATCAAGTCAGGAGCACGTTTGAGGAGAAGATGATCCCGGGTTTCTGGATGGGTACACAATCTAAGTGCTCACTCATACAGAAGGAGGAATAAAGAACTGAATCCACAATGTAGAATGAAATATTGTGATAATTAGCTCAGAAAGGTGTAAAAATATCCCATTCTATTATTGATATGGCCCCTTTCAGCATAAAATCACACAGATGAGGTCGTCACCAATACTTCCATATAAACATCTTCTAATGCATATTACCATTAAATAAGTAGTAGTAAGTAGTAGATGTAGTTTTCATATACAGTATCAGATACACATGATATACACGGCTTAGTGCATTTTAGTAAAAGGGAACAAAATGCAAAGATTTATACAAATGTGTTTATGTTATATTACATATATATATATATATTTTTACCACTTTGTCGTTATTGTTTGCAGAGAATGTATAGAGTTCCCTAGTTTGGAATGAATGTATGTAGGATGTGATATATGCAAAAGTTTGAATAAAAATAATACAACTCTGAGTAAGATGCATTTTGTCCTGGATTGTTCCTTCTTACATTACATGGTAAATTACCTTTCACCTACACAAAGTCTTGGGGAGTGCAGGAATTAAAAATAGATGTAGCATGTGGACCATAGATCATCTGCCACATATCGCCTGACATCTACTAGTTAGTTTGGTGCCGTTACGTGTCACTGCTGACAACACTGACGTGACCGATTTCTGAATATTACAGTGGAATGTGTGAAACTGTCACCGCACCTTGTTTTGAGGAGACTCCTAAAGTTGCAGAGGTGTCAGGTGTCTATATTAGTCCCACTCATATCTTTATGTCAAAGTCAAGTGCGCACACCCCTTTGACCTCCCTGCTGAGAAGCCTCTTACTGTCCCTGACACCTCCTTCAGAAAATCCCTCCTTTCTCCCACCTCATCTTCACTGAGTGTATAAAAGCCAAGTGGAAGACGAAGACTTTGCACTTTTACTTTGGATAAACCGAAGAATTTTGAGGTGTCACTTGGGAAGCAGGTTACAGCCCAAAGATGCCGGCCAGACCTAATACTGCCATAGTCAACCTCAATGAGACCATCAAACCAGGTACATCCAGTTTGTGTCCATGTAATGAAAAACATTACATTTATGATGAAATTTGTTACATTTGGTAGCAAATAATGTATTAGCATCTTTTTAAAAGAGTATTAAATTCTTATCTGCAAATGCAGTTATTGGCAACATACATTTGCGTTTAAAAACATGAACTATGAATCTTACATATTTAGTTTTCCATAACTATAATATAATGGGACATAGATTTTACATGTTTCTCAAAGTTAACAGAATTGAAAATGCATGACATAGAAAAATGTAAAGGTGTCATAAGAAACTTCAGATGATGACTTCTTAAATGCTATTGTTCCTTGTGAAGTTGTTTCCTGTGAGGGTTGGCAGGTGTTACGTGTTTGTGTGAAACAGGAAACAGCTCATCATCTCCTTGAATTTACATTTTTAGGACAGAGGCGGAAATCTAACAAGAAGGAGATAAATACAGGTAACGGATTTGATGCATGTGTTAGCTTATGAGAGTATATTTGTATGTGTGTGTACTCAAGCCTGTTTTCTTTCCTTGCAGAGAAGGTCCCGGTTTATGAGCCGGGGATCCCAGAGCCAACAAATAGAGCCGAGCTCATGAAATGTATGAGCAGATTCTTTTTTCTCATGTACTTTATCCATTTTTTCCAGGTTTTATTGATAGTTAATTTGATGTATTTTTGCTTCATTCTTTGCGGTAGATTGGATAAACTTGTCTTTGGATGATAAGACTGCTAACAAGATGTTGTGGATTTCGGAGAGCGGCTTGAAGGTGTGTCGTAGAACTGAGGAGATTTGTCCCGTCCTGGATAGACCCGAGAGATACGAGTACTCTCCACAGGTATGTCAGAAAATAATACAAATACACAGATAGGCTGTCTGGTAAACAAAGATTTTTTTAATGCAATTTTCTACAAAGGTGCTGTGCAAAGAGGGCTTGTGGAACGTTAGGGCTTACTGGGAGGTGGAGTTCTCTGGGTGGGTGGTAATCGGAGCCACCTATGAAGGAGCTGGAAGGAGAGCGAATTCTGGGCCAAGCGGCCTGGGAGAAAACGAGGAGTCCTGGGGTCTGTGTTGGTTAGGATCATGTTATCAGATCTGGTTCGACGGCGTAAACAAAGACATAAACAACGTCCCATTTAGCTCCATGATTGGCGTTTACATTGACCAGCCTGCGGGGATAATAAACTTTTACACCGTAACTGGCGAGGGGGGGGAGAAGGAGGTGAAGTTGTTGCATAAAGTTAAGACGACTATCGAGAAGAAGATTTTTCCTGGTTTCTGGATGGGAATTCAGTCTTCGTGCACGATGCTGAGGAATACAGATTGAACTAAAACTGAATGAATCTGTGTTGATGATGTGGCAGAAGGGATTTTACACCTGCACACCACTTGAGACACTTCTTATTTCATCCCGTAAATAGTGTTTAACCCGTTTGATACAAAATGCATCAAATCTGTTCCCATTTGGGGGAGAAAAAATGTATTGTAATTTGACCGGTCATGACATTTGTCATGATTGAAAAATATTTTTCTATTTTTGTTTACTTGTTGTGCTTTTATTGTGTAATTTACATCTTGTTATAAATAGTGAATATGACTGTACTGATCATGTTATGAAAGTTGAATGTCATGTGACTTTATGAAAGCTGAAATAAAACATGTATTCAAACCAAATAATTCTTTCCTGCTGTTTTAAAATATACGTTGACTCGATTTTCAACCACACCGCTGTGACATTGCAAAACTTTGTCAACATATTAAAAGATCAAAACCCACAGAATATCATGCACATTTTCCACTCATGACCATTTAAAATCCAACACCTCTCGTTTCTCTGTTCTTGATCTTTCCCTAATGGCGTCGCTAAGATAAAGTTGCCCACAGTGTATAAGGCACAGCAGTGATCCCCTCTGGATTTAGCTGGGTAAAGAAGAAGGAGTGAGAATCATTCCCCTATGGACGACAGGGTCCCACTTTGATATTTGAGAAGCTGTGGCCCAAAGAGCACTTTCCCTACTTTGACAGGTGGCACCCAACTCCTGCAGCCTTCAGACCTAACGCATGAGCTTAACAGGAACTAAAAGTGGGGCACACGGACAATCACAAAACATTTACACTCCTAGATGCCGAGCGTATCATGCAACCTCATTTAACAAGCTCCAAGAAGAGTCCAGGTCACGACCCACTACACATCAGTCAAACCAGGACTTTGATTTCACTGACGTAGGCTATTGCACTGTGTCTGACCTCCACAACTCAGAAAAATCGACCCAACACAAAAATAAAGAGGCCACAATTAATACGTTTATCTACCAAACATTGTAAATTGCCAGAGGAGGTGCAGTGTCAAATTTGGGGAAATATGGACACATGATATGTACAATATTAATCATCAAGCCTCAGTCCTTGCATAAACTACATCATTAGTTGGTAACCGGCAGACTGTGGCTAATAATATCCATCCCGCCAGATCAATGATTGTTTTGTTGTTACAGCGCTCAAATTAGGTTCAATTTTATGAAAAACATTTAACTTTAAGATCTTTACTGCAGATAAACCAGGTAGGATGAATGCATACTGCACAATATATTGTTTGAGGAGGACTCTCTGGAGCATTTACACAGTACAAGAGAACAGCCCATTCCAAACAGGCCTGTTTAGAACGGACACTGCACCGGTGATAACTACTGTGTGTGACTACGTGAAAGAGGTCGATCATTGTGATGAACTTTTCTTAGTCATGTGGTATTTAATAGCGACCTCCAGCATTCAGGTGTCAGTTGTTTACTGTTACTGGTTAACGCTCAGTGCTCTCATGATCTCATGACCACAGCACGCAGCTGTTTTCAGCATAAATCATGAAGTCCACTCCACACTGCTGAGGTTGGAAATATAAATAACACTTCACTGTAGTTACATTCAGGTCATTCCTGACCCACTTTGGAAAATAGGACATAGACAATAACAAAATTTCACTTTTCATAATAAGTTAAATATAACTTCCTACTCATCTGAGGTCTAAAACAGGCATTCAACTTTTGGTAGTGTCATGAATGCTTAAAGACTTTAATTCATGTTCTGTTTCAAACTCAACCTCAGCAATATCATACACACAAAAATGGTCAGTTGGACAGTTGGTGAATTTGGGTAATCTAGGACACTGAGTAATGTCGGACATCGAAAATCAGGTCTGTTTATTTGCTGTTCTAACAAAATCTGGGCAACAGGACTTTTACTATAGGTTAGCTTCACAGAAAGGGGCGAAATAATAATATTTTTTAAAAAGCAAGCTTGGCATGCATAAAGCAAGGTGATGTAGGCTGTTTTTAAAGCCTAATACAAGTGTCCCAGTTCACCAAGGAAACGTGTTAAGGGTTACAGAAAGGTGTACAAGGTTAATCTAATGTGTAAAACAGATATCGGAAAAAGTAGCAAAAATCAAAATTGAAGAAATGTCCCAGATAACCCGAATTCACCATATTTGAAATGTCAGTTCATTTTGTCCCGTTTGAGCAGCTCTACAGCGGCAACAGTGCTCCTCAAATTCTCCGTCTTACATCTTAGCTATCAGTTTGCTTGCCACTTAATCTTCCTTCATAAAACTCTTTCACTGTCAGAATGTGCTTTTGTAAAACATTTGTCCTTTCAGCTCATCCAATTTAGCTTCAAGGTTTAGCTGTAACGATGTTTGAGATGAGCCTTTAAGCAAACTGGGCACACTGACTTGTCATCTTTGTCCATTTCTCTCTATTCTATTCTTACTTGAAAGTCACCATGATTCTTCCCTGCGATGAAACGTAATGTGTTTATCTTTCTGCCTGACCATGACCTGACAGGGCTGAAACTTATTATTCCACTATTCTATGTTATATTTCTTTTATTGCAGAAAAAAAAGTAAGGCGAGTTGCGCAGCCTGAGGCCAGAGATTCCCCGCCCCTGCTGGAGATTCCCAAAACTCTTAAACATTTACAAAATAAATGTCATAAACTTAAAAACATTACATGAACAAACATTTCTCCAACTAACGATAAAACAACAAAGAGGGATAAAGTAACACAACCGCGTGTATATATGACTGCAGAAGTACATCTGTGATCAGCCACAGCTAAGCGTGATTTATACTCTGGTTCCCCCGATGAGCATATGTGAGAATTTACAGTCGGTAAGCTCAACAGTTCAAACCTTTTTGACAGGAAGAAATATCCATCGTGGACCACAGCGAACAAAACTGGAGACCGCGATCCAAGAATAATCTCACCCGGAGCGCCAGCCCCCTACACGTCTGGATGTGTGAGCTTATGCGAGGCATGTGAGTGAGTGGTAACTCTAAGCCTGTCATGAGCAAAGTGGTTTAAGCTATATAGAGTAAGTGGCATGTATAACGTTACATATTAGACGTAGGGGATCCTGGCCCACCTTTCACTGCTTGGCATAGAAACCAGATTGTACACAACAACAACAAAAAGTCAAAACTTCTTTTTTACAGCAAATGCAGCCGAACTAAGCAGGTATTTGTTTTCTTAATGAACCGAGGCTGTGAAATAACTCAAGTGTCACATGTATATGATTTCATAATAAGAATTTCTTTTTCCTCTGTCACCCAGATATCAATGTCCTCTCATCAGTTGTGGATTTATGAGCTTCATGCAAACACTTGTCCAGCAGCTCGATGATTTGCGTATAGCAGATGGTTCTTAATTACATCTACTCAGTGAGCTCCTATAATAATATTCCAATCTGGTCCAGCGTCGCTCTATCAATGAAATGTCATTTATTCTGACACTATTGGTCCCGCAGGATTTACTGTCATGTAGCTACTGGTCCATGTTCAGACTGTCTACAGGCTAACACGGCTTGGTGGGAGCAACAGTTACACGTTACCCTCTCTCTCTATCTCTGCCTGTGTATGTATTTAAACAACACACACACATATATATTCACACGGATAAATATATATATATACACGTCACTCTTATTCATCTTTAATGTCTCTACAAATCTAGGGCATGTGCTGCTCCGACACACATGACACAGTGAAACTGAAGTCTGTTTACGATTTACCGCTGTAGTGTTTAAAGCTAGTGATAGACAATAAATACTGAGAGATGCCATATGATTTCAGTGGGTGACGACTGAATTTTACGAGGCAAACTGTCAAAAATGATAAGCCAAATGGACGTAGACATCATTTAGACATTATTTTTGTTGTATTATTATAGACATT